ACACACACACACACACACACACACACACACACACACACACACACACACACAATCATCTGGTTTTAATTTTCTGCAATACATTCAAAATCCAGACTGGGCTGTGGTGAGAAAGCTGTATGTAGGCAAAAAAGCTACAGACAGCGACATAGTCTGATAAGACAGGCATGGGACAAATATCCCAGCGCCCTTAGATCTTTCTCAATCTGAAATTCCACCATTAAGTATTAATTCCTAAAGCACAGAATGCTGTTTCATCTTTAAGGGTGTTCATTTGAAATGCAAATATTCCTCTGAATTGAGGGGAAAAAGAAAAAAACACCTTGAGTTTTCCTTCCATTCCTCCTCTCTCAGCCATCAGGTTGCCGCCATTAAAGATCAAAGCTGTGCAACAGAGGGGGGGGATGCGGGGAGGGGGGAATGAATGTGAGACTGTGTTGGTGAGTCTGTGGAGAAGAGAAAGGGAACACACAGCTTTACCTGGGAGAAAGAGTCCATTATCCATAAGGACGCAATGAAGATTCTCCAAGGTTATCTCTAAAAGGAAGCATTTCTGACAGGTAGGGGTGTAGTCAACCACAGAACTCCTTTGTAGCTGAAATTTACCTTCCCCTTGGGTTTCTCCCTCCAACAATGCTAGCAACAGGAATCAACGTGGTTCCCACTGACTTGCAGATGAACCCAGAAAAATCTTCTAAGAACACAGTGAACACTGAAAGCTAAGCAAACAGAGAGCTTCCCCATAAGGATTAAAAATAGTTTAAAGTGCGCAGTTCCCCAACACAGCCGACTCAGACAGATCACTACATGGGTCTAGTACTCTTCTTAGTACACTACACCATAAGAGCCCCATGCTCTGACCCCCAAACTGTCTAGATATTTCCGGGCTGAAGTGTAGAACCTGCCTCTACAGGGTTGAAGACAGCCAAAGACCTTTTGCAAATGACTGTTAAAACTAAACTTGAAAAAACACCCATTGAGCAATGTAGCGAAAGCATTCTCAATTCTGGATCCTTAAGAGATTCACTGCTGTGACATCTCTCCTGTCTAGAGAAGTCTTATCAATTACTAAGGCATGGCTTTAAATCTTTTCAGAATGTTATCAGGACAAGCAGAGCACTGTATGTACAAGAGCCCATGAACCAAGGTAAACAAACAACTTTTGTTCACTGAGCTCCATCAAAGAAAGAGTGTGAGAGGGAAGACCAAACATATATCTAATTAAATCAATGAGAATTGCAACTGCATTTGAAGCCAATATAAAGTATAATTGGAAGACAAAGGAGATAGAAAGCTATTGTCTCTTCATCAAACTAAATGTATCAGACTAAATTTTATTGGCATGCTATTTATAAGACAAAAGAGAAATGAAATGTTTTATGATATATGGCTGATATTAGTGAACTTGAAGATTGAGCAATAAAAACTATTGAAAATTAAAAACAAATGGGGAAAACTAAAGGAAATGTAAACAAGCTGAGCCTGGTAGCACAAGCCTATAATTCCAGTATGCAGGGGGCACTGAGGCAGAAAGATTATGAGTTCAAGCTGAGCCAGGCTCCATATCAAGACCCCATATTGCTTTAACATACTGACAAGTAAATATAAACTTTCAAAAAAAGAGAAAAATTAGCAACAAACAACCTCAAATGATTTGATATATGTATAATTATAGCCCTCATAACAGAGAGGAAAAGCATCTTTGAAGTCTGATGGGATTTATCACTAAAGCTAACGAAAACTATAAATCTACACCCCTGAGAATTCCAAGAAACACAAAGCACAAGAAACCCGAAGAAAACGACAACGTAAGAATTCTTAGGGGCAGCAAAGAGAAAAACCTTAAATGTAATGAAATCCAACACAATATGTACAAAGAAACCACAGCCTGCAGCGTGCTTCTTGTTAGAAAGAATGGGAGCTGGAAGGCAGTGAACAGTGACATAAACCGCAGAATGGGGCTGAGGGAAAGCTCATTCTAGAATTCCCTACTCAGAAAAGTCTTTCAAAAAAGGAAGTTAAAATAAGCACGTTGTCAGCAGCAATGTTGGAGGAAGTCTCCGGGCAGAACAGCCATGAAGGCCAATGGGTGTCCGGGTTGACAAAAACGGAATGAAGAACTCTAGGAATAGAACACGTAAACACTCGCAGGAACCTTGTCCTTTCTTTCCTACATGTCTTTAAAAGGCAGCCGAGGGTTGGGAGACGGCTCAGTCGGTAAAGAGCTTGCCTGGCAAGCAAGAGGACTTGGGTGTGATTCCCAGAACCCAGGTAAAATTGACAGTCAGGGTGGCACACATGTTTGTAATCTCGGCAGGAAGGTGCAGACAGCAGGACCCCCTGTGGCTTGCTGGCTGCCAGTCCAGCCCGTTTGGTGAGGCCAAAGTCCTAAGAGACTCTATCTCAAAGGAAGTGGACAGCATTCCTAAGCATGATACTCAAGACAGATCTCTGTCCTCTGGCATGTGCACCCCCCCCCCACACACACACACAATTTCTTTAAGTTAAAAAAAAAAAGCAAAGAAAAAATTGACAGTTTAAAGATAGCAATAATAGGTGGAAATGGTTATAGCATTTGTAAAACAAATATAATCATGGTTATGGAACAAAGCCTAGAGGGCAAGGGTGGAGAGGAAGAAGCAGGAGCAGAAGATGTAAAAAGCTTCTGAAAGGAGACTACAGCGGGAAATGAGATGTTTGCTCTATCTAAAATAAAGAAAGCCACACAAATGCAGCCATAAAATACTCAAAGCAAGAGGAAGCGGATAAGACAGGTAAATCTAAAACAAATAGCAAGAGAGTAGAGTAAATACAGCCATATGAAGAATAATAGTAAATATAAATGATCTAGACACACCCATCAGAAGGCAGAGAATGATAGACTGACTTTTTTTTTTTTTTTTTTTTTTTTTTTTTTTTTGAGACAGGGTTTCTCTGTGTAACAGCCCTGGCTGTCCTAGAACTCACTTTGTAGACCAGGCTGGCCTCAAATTCACAGAGATCCACCTGCCTCTGCCTCCCAAGTGTTGGGATTAAAGGCATGCACCAGTAGACCTGACTCAGATTGAATTTTTTAAAAAGCAGTAAAGTATATGATTTTTTTTTGCAAGACCAACATCATACAAACAAGCAAACTTTGTAGAAAACAGCAGAATGATAACCACAGTGGAGATAATTAAAACAAAGTATGAGTGGCTAAAGTCACAGTATAATCCAAAAAAGATACACTACCTTATAAAATCAATATTAATGAGGGAGGACTATTATCGTGAAAACAGGGTAATATCAGAAATAAAACTTATAAACCTGTTGTTACCATGCCTGACCAAGGAAAAGTGAGAGAAGATACAGACAAACGGTGTTGGGGACAACAGCCCAAAGAGCAGCCGTCCTAATGTGTCCAGAACAGTTTGGCTGACTTAATGCAATGGTTGTACTTACTAAAAGGTAAAACTACTCAAACCTAGTGGATGAATAGTATCATTGCTATTTTAAAACTGCAATGAAAATACTTTCTGAACAGAAAACAGGCACACAAACAGCATCAGTGGTTTTATCAAACATTTTAGGACTGTTAATACAAACTATACATCTATGCAAACCCCAAGAAACTTGAAGTGCTGGGTATCTCCCAACTCACTCTATAAGAACAGTATTGCCCTGGCCCCAAAGTCAGGATAAAAATACTGTTTTTAGAAGTACAAATATCCTTTATAAGCCCACATAATAAAAATGTTCAACAAAAGCTTGGTGAATTAAATCCAATGGTACATAAGAAGAGAAAATTCCATGGATAAGTGTCAGGAATACAAGGCTGGTTATAAGAAATACCAACCAATGCAACTTACTACATTAAGTGACAATGAAGAAGAATTAGTCATAATTTAACACATGAAAATAAAAACAGCTTTCAGCCCAGCCTAACATTCAACCATCACAAAAATTTTCAACAAATTTAAAAACAGAAGGAATTTTTGCAGTTCAATGACAGGCTCTCACAAAAACAGCCTATGGCTGAAACCATACTCCATGATCAAAGTTCCCAAGAGGAGGAACATGGAAGGGTTCCTACTCTCTCCAACTATCTTCCATTTGCACTGGGGGCCCACCCAGTATAATAATGTAAGAGAGAGAAGCAACACCACCAGATTAAAAGAAGGAAGTAAAATTGTCTCTACTCAGAGCTCAGAGATGATACCATCATCTATCAAATCTATAGAAAAGCTACTCAAAGGAATAGCTTAGCAAATCTGAAAGACACAAACTCAACACACTTATCAATCACATTGGAAGCGATGACTGGAAGTAAAATTAATATTTACTTTCACTGTGCAACAGCCTGAAATAATTGGAACTAGGACTAGCAAAGTCCCTGTGCAGATTAACATTTAAAAACATGGAGGGATAAATCAGATAAAAAATGTACTAGGCTTATGCAGTAAAAGTACAAGATATTGTAAAGAGAAATTAAAGAACTAAGTAAATGGAGCCATAGCTCATGTCCGTTGGTCAGAAGACTCAA